TCTTTCTGATCGCAGGCGTTAGTTAAGTGCTACTTAAGTTCAGTATTCATAGAATCATAGAAGTATGGTTGGGAGGGACCTTATAGATCTTCAAGTCCAACCCCCTGCCAGGGCAGAAGAAAAAAAAACTGGGCTCAAATGATCCCAGCCAGGTAGGCATCAAGCCTCCTCTTAAAGACCCCCAGGGTAGGAGCCAGCACCACTTCCCTTGGAAGTTGGTCCAGCTCCTAGCCGCCCTAACTGTGAAGTAGTTCTGACGGATGTCTAATCTAAACCTCCTCTCCAACAACTTGTGGCCATTATTACTTGTTATGCCAGGGGGCACTAGGGGAAACAAGGTCTCTCCCAAACCCTTCTGGTCCCCCCTAGTGAGTTTATAGACTGTCACCAGGTCCCCCCTCCTCAGCCTTCTCTTGTGAAGGCTGAACAGGTTCAGGTCCTGCAGTCTCTCATTGTATGTATTAACATAATATGGTCCACTAAGTGATGAAGGAATCATCTTACTTATTGGCACAGTCTGTGGGTCAATGGGAATAGAAGACCCATATTAAAACAACAGGTACAACCTCACTGGTTTTGCACCAGATGGCTGCATTACAGAGATGATGTTCAGGATGTCTAGGGAAGGAAAAGACAAAATCTCTCACCCCAGCACCCTTTACAACAAAACCTCTTTCTGTGGAAGCTGGTGCTGCAGCACTACTGCTGACAAGTTCATTCAGAGAAAGAGTTAATCTAAACAGAAGTGATTATCCAGAAGAGAAAGTGGAAAACCATGAGCTCTTGAAGACAATATGCTCTGTATTAAAAAGTCTCATTGGTAGAGTGAATAGAGAAGAGCATGAAGAAAGATGCTGTAGACCCTCTGACAGTTTCCCCAACGTGTTTGTCAGATCAGCTATCCTGATTTTCAAAATATATTTAATATGTTCTGCTTTGACAGTCTGTATCCAAGTTAGAAACCAATATTTTGTAACTTGGATAAGTATCCAGAACTCATAAGAAACGGGCCTTTTACTTCATATTTCCCTGTAAAAAAATAAAACCCCACACACGCACAAAAAAAAAATCACTCTTACTGCTAGATATGAACTTTAAATGTCATATAAAAGCACAAACCTGTGGGGGCCATCAGGGTCACAGTTAGGTAGAAAATTGGTGACAGCTTCTGCCACTTCTTCATTTAATAATACATCCCAGAGTCCATCAGTAGCCAAGATCAGCACATCATCTGGTCCATGCTCATACTGCTGAAGGTCATAGACTTTCACCTAAAATCAAAAAACAGGGAAACATTCACTTCCATTAAGGAGGAAAAACTCAATGCATGAAAACCTGCTAATGGTAGTCTTGATTTAGTAGACTAAGAAAGGGCATTAAAATAAATCTCACATGAAGCAGCTGGGCTCCATTCACACTAGGTCACCTTGATGGAGCTCTATTGGGTCCCAATTCAGGACAGCATTCCCTACTTCAGTAGAGCACTTTGCAAATTCTTAAGTGTTGACCTGGACATGGATGGACTTAAACATTCCTGAGCTGAGGCCACAGTCACCATGTTATATTAGTAAGGATCGAAGCAATCAAAGCTTCTCCTCCCCCAGCTCTGTCTATGGACAGGCTTTGCATTGTAAGCTCTTTTATCCGTTTGCCCTGATCCAATTAAAAATGCTAAATACACCACACATATTCTGCAGTGCTTGTACAGCAGAATAAAATATGAATATAAAATTTTTCCTACAGCCATAATCCAGAAGCAGTGCTTTAATGTTAGCATGTGAGTAGTCCTGTTGAAGCGCATGGGACTATTCAGATGCTCACTAAAAACTAAGCATGTTTTTATGTGCTTTGCTGGAGTGGGGCCAGTTTGCAGAACCATGTAAAAACAAGTCATAGGGTTAAGCTATTTCCATAAAATGCCCATTGACTTTGTTAGTTAAGGCTGCAGTCACACTGCCAGACTAACCCTTGAGCCTGTACTAGGGTTTGAATATTGTAGCCAGGAAGGCCCATTCTTTCTCAGACTTGAGGAAGGGTATCTTGTGCTGAAAAACTTGCATAACGCTGCTCCAAAAATATGGTTCATCCACTAAAAGATATCACTAAAACCTTGCTCTTGAAGCCTGTGACATCTGCCTTTAAAAAAGCTTCCAGTACTACCTCCTTGCCTGACCTGTCTAAAGGTAGGATTGAAGGGGTTAACTGAGTCATCCCATAAGTTTTTTAAATGAGTCTTGTTGGATGCAAGTCATCTTCCAGCCAGTGCTGCATTCCAACTGTCAAGCTGCCTGCTGCTCCAATTCCCAAACTAAAACTTGGAGTCCTTGTGAACCCCTCGCAGAGCACTTTAATTACCCCAGCAATGACTGTAATGAGAAAGAAGCGTGACCGCCTTGGCAAGGCAGACAAGAGGAAATGATGATCTATATTAAAATTTGGAAAGAGTGCACCTGGTCATGCATCCTGCTTCATCCTTGTGCTTCAGTAACCACAGCAGTACTCTGCAAGTTTGCTGGGACACGTACTTGGCACAGCTAGATGACAAAGTTGTTTTACTCTCTCCCGGCATGCTCTTCTCTCCGGGGATATGGAGCAGGAAATGCACATAAACTGCTTGGACCTTTTAATGCAATTACGATTTTATGGGACTGCAACCAGTACAGGAGAAACAATCACCTAGATTGCAGTGCTAATCCTCACCATTTTGCTTTTCACTCAAAAGAAAGATGATCATTTGTAAAATACCACCTTTCCTCCATTATTTAAGGTGTGTCCAAAATAGGGCTTTGGAGAGAATCAGCTAAAGACAAAGCCAAATTACTTATCTCTCTTTAGCATATGATTTATCCCTACTAGTAATACAGGTCCCCTCCCTGCGGTTATGGAAGCTGAGCTCTTTCGCTCTAGGTATAACAGTTCATGCTTTCATCTCAAAGTGACTGGTTCAGTTCAGTGTTTTGATCAGATTGGCAGCTGTCATACAAAGGCACATTTTGGTCAGATCCCCTCTGCCTTCCATATTATTGGAAGGTATATAAAACCTTTGTATATAAATATACAAATAAATATTTTATTTGTAAATATAAAATTATATATACATATAAATTTGTAAATATATACATATTTATTTGTATACATAAATTTATATATACATATAAATATATACATATATACACACATGTATATACATATATGTACATATTTATATATACATATTTATTTGTAAAAATAAAATTATATATACATATAAATATTCATAAATATTTATTATTGGAAGGCAGCTGTCATACAAAGGCACATTTTGGTCAGATCCCCTCTCTCTCTGCCCTCTCTCCCTCACCTATGCAAAGAAAGTTCAAATTAATCAACACATGCCTTTTTGGTAGCACTGGGAAAAAACAGGATAATTTATATTTTATTCCTATTAGAGCTGACAGCAAAACTCCTGGCTTCACCGAGAACAGAACTGGAGCCTACACTTGTGTTCTCCACTGGAGCAGAATCCTATCAAAACTGCAGCTGATCTAGCACATGAAAGGATGAAAAATATACAGCCATGTAGATTTCAGTACAATGATGGGAAGGTATTTTAATTTTAAAAAAAAAGACATTCTGTGCATCTTATATGGCTGAAAACTGTGCATCTCCAACTTATAGGGCATTTGTCTCAAACTTCCAAGCCATCCTCCACTGGCTGACCTTACACCCACCATGATTCAGGAAATTAACTAGCAATGAAATTTAAATGAAGATCCAGGGAAGTACAGGCCTATCAGTCTGACATATATCCCTGGAAAGATATTAAAGAAAAATCAAGGGATCCATCAGCAACAGGCTAACGGAAGGCAACCCTCTGAATGTCAGCCAACATAGTTTTATTACTGGAAGGTCTTGCCTGACCAACTTCATCTCCTTCTATGACCAGGTAATGCATTTCCTGGACAAGGAAGATAAGGTGGATTCCATATATCTGGATTTCAGGAATGCCTTTGGTTTGGTTTCCCATGATGTCCTCACAGTTAAGCTGGGGAAGTGCAGCTTTGACCATCCCATGGTCCAATGGCTGGGGAACTGGCTCCAAGGTCAGACCCAAAAGGTACTAGTTGTTGGGAACAAATCAATGTGGCACAAAGTTACCAGTGGACTCTCACAGGGCTTGGTACTTGGGCCAGTACTCTTCTACATCTTCATTAATGGTCTGGATTCGGGCATCAGATGCAGACTGGCAAAGTTTGTCGACAACACTAAACTATGAGGGAAGGTGGCCACACTGGAAGACAGGATGGAGATCCTGGCTGAGCTGGACATGCTCACAAGGTGGGCAGACCAAAACCTGATGGCATTCAATGTAGCAAAGCACAGTGTGCTCCCCCTTGGAAGAAAGAACCAGCATCATACTTACAGGTTCATCAGTGCTACGCTTGCTAGCACCACAACCAAAAGAGGTTTGGGGTCTTGATTGACCACAAGATGAACGTGAGCCAGCAATGCAATGCCGTGTCCAGCAAAGCAAATCAAACTCTGGCATGCATCCACCGATGCATCTCAAACCAGAGACATTATCCTCCTGCTATACTCAGCTAGAGTACTGCATCCAGTTCTGGGTCCCCCACTTCAGGACGGATGTCAATAAGCATGAGAGAATCCAGAGGAGAGCCACCCATATGATCAAAGGCCAAGAGAGCAAGCCTTATGAGGACAGGCTGAGGGACATGGGACTATTCAGCCTGGAGAAGAGAAGGTTCAGGGGGGACTTGGTGGCAGCCTATAAGTATATAAGGGAGGTGGATCAAGATCTGGGACAACAGTTGTTTACCTGGGCCCCGCAAGGGATAACAATGTCTAACTGCCACAAACTCATGGAAGGCTGATTTAGACTAGTTATAAGGGAAAACGTCTTTACTGTCCGAGTGTGCAGTGTCTGGAACAGACTCTCCTCTGCTCTGGACTCATTCAAAAGGTATTTGGATGTTTATCTTGATGGGATCATTTGACCCCAGCTGACTTTCTGCCCATGGCAGAGGGGCTGGACTCGATTTGGGGAGGTCTCTTCCAACTCCTAACATCTAAGAAATCTATAAAATCTATGTTCCAGCCACATTGCTTGTGTGCAAATGGATACTGGACAGATAACATGTGCAGTATCTATCCCTGAGGATGGAAAAGGGTCAATGTGGTGCCCATTTTTAAGAAGGGGAGAAGGGTGAGCCGGGTAACTTTAGGCCAGTCAGTCTTACCTCTATCCTTGGGGGGAAAAAATCATAGAAGAGCGTATTTGTGAAGGCCCAGCAGGGGAAATGATGCTGAAAGGAAACCAGAATGGGTTTGTCACTGGTAGATCCTGCCTGACAAACCTTATAGCCTTTTACAAAAAGGTTACACTGCCTTGACACAGGAGCTGAGGCAGACGTAATCTACCTGAACTTTAAGAAGGCCTTCGATACAGTTTCGTATCCTAGTCTCATAAGGAAGCTAGCAGGCTGTGAAGTAGACACTCCCTAAGCCAGTTGGCCACCCACCTGACTTTGTTACCGCATCCAGAGAGTGGTGGTGGACGGGTCGTTCTCAGCCTGGAAGGAGGTGGGCAGTGGGGTCCTGCAGTTTGGTCCTTGGACCAGTGTTATTTAATATCTTCATCAAATGATGTGGATGAGGGTGTGGAGAGCACCCTGTCCAAGTTCATGGATGACACCAAGTAACGGGGCAAAGTTAACACACTGGAGGGCAGGGAGTGGATACAGGCTGATCTGGACAGATTGGATCAATGAGCAGAATGAAACAGGATACAATTCAACAAAAACAAATGCAAGGTACTCCATGTAGGGAGGAGGAATCCCCAGCACACCTACAGGTTGGGGGATAACCTCCTCAGCAGCTGAAAGGGATCTTGGAGTCATAGTTGACTCCAAAATGAACATGAGCCAGCAGTGTAACGAAGCCATCAACAAAGCCAATCACACCTTATTGTGCAGCAGCACACGCATGAGCAACAGATTGAGGGAAGTGATGCTCCCCCTCTATGCAGCATTGGTCAGGCCACAGTTGGAGTAGTGTGTCCAATTTTGGGCTCTGCACTTCAAGAGGGATGAGGAAAATCTGGAGAGGGTCCAGAAAAAGGCCACTCGTATGATTAGTGGCCTCTGTGCAAGATGCTATGAGGAGAGGTTGAGGGATCTGGATCTCTTCAGCCTTCACAAGAGACATCTGAGGGGAGACCTTGTAGCAGCCTGTAAGTTTATCAAGGGAGGACAACAAAGAATTGGAGATGCAC